ACTGACATATAAAACATGAAAATGCTTGTAGTTCTCATGGCAGCCTAGCTGTGCCATTGTCTTTGTTTTTGTCAAATTACTGCTCAATTCACCTAATTTTGTTCTGAACTACAAGATCTCCAGCTCTTATAATCACAGTTCCTTTCACAAGCCCATTATCTTTTCCTAGGGCAATAGTCATATTTCAATCAACTTTCAGAACACGTACTGTCTGTTCTGGCCTTCCCACATCATTACCATCTTAGGCCAATACATGGATATCACCTTTTGACCTTCATCTTGCACATTGTGTCAATGTTTGTATTTTCCAGTGGCTTTCTCTGCTCTTCCTTTAATGGTGGCACCCTCCACTCACTGGCCCCCTTCTGACCCACTTATAGAGTCATGGATCAGTAGCCTTATCTATGCACTAATTTCAATTTGTCCATCCTCAGTCAGCACCTCATCTGCCATAATTTGCTTCTCGTAATTGACTAACATTGTGCTCCCATTCTGAAAATGTGACAACTAATTGCAAGGAATGTACCCTGACAGTCCAATTGCCATCTTGTAAAATGACCGTTTCTCCATTACAACCTGTAGCCTTACGCTGATGCTTCCACTCTTCCTGCTTTTCACGTCTGAAATATACCGTGTCCCAGGTTAAAATTATTTCTAACAGTCTTGTACAATGCTGTAAGACTTGCCGAAACTTCTCTGAAACCTCAGCTTTAATGAAAACCCTCCTCCCTGCTCTCAGAGCATTTAAGTGCTCAGGAAAAGTGGAGCTAATTTCAATCCCTTTCCAACCTGGCAGATAATTACTCAACACTGAAGCATTTTTTGATTTGCTCCCAAAAACTAATTGATATGGACTATAGACCCAACTATTTGCAGTGAATTTTTTTTTAAATGGACTGTTCACACCAGGGCAGATGTTAGTTTACACCTTGATTGGTCTGCTAGATTTTATGAAGCTTCACATCTATTACTACATGATTTCTTTCACAAATTCCATTACTAAATGGTCTTCATGTTGCTGCATTCATTACAATAATATTCATATTTACACATTTTCACACGTTTAAATTAATTTCTAGTGATGTCATCCCCATTGTCATTGAGGAATTTAGCTGTTACCCTTAATCCAGTCCCTATCTCCATTACTTTATCCACAATCACCTTATTTCTTTACTGTATCACATTGTGGATTGGCTAAATATTGTTGTCAGTCTATGAAGTGCAAGAAGAAATGTTTTCTGATCTCATACCTTCAAGTCCATTAAAACAACAACTTCAGTAAAGTCTTTGACTAAAGGGAACATCACATTGGCTACAATGCTCTGTCTGTTTATATTTTTTGTAACATAAATCACATTTATCATTGATATTATCTACAAGTTTAGCATTCTCATTGCCTCTTACACCTACGTCCTTTAGCAAGGTTTTTAAAATTGTCAGAAGAGATGGGAAAATTGTCAGTGTAGCTTTAAGATAATCCAGCCATTTTTCCCTTTAAACTTCTATTCCATAATCCTTCTTTAATATTTGCTTACAGAAGCTAGCTCTTGTTATTACATCCCTCTAATGTCTGGATTATGTAAACTGTAAATCCATTAACTTCTCCAAAAACAACTACGTTTATGTGCTCCATATTTTGTGTCACTTCAGCATTTTTCATTGATGACCTACTCAAGAGTGAGGGTATTTTACTTGACACAATATCTATGCTATTTAAAATGGAACTACAACTCTTTAGTGACTTTAGTGTGTGGTCATTCCCAAACCTGAAGCACATAAAACTGTCAAATTCCTTAACTTTACTTCAGTCCTTATTATCTAGATAACATTTTAATCAATTCTCTCTAAACGCTGTAGACATGTAGCCACTGTCCAACCAGAACATTCATTGTTGAGCGGAACCTTCTTTTAAGCAATACAATTCATTCTGCCTGATTGTCTCTAACTTCTCCTCTGAACATCAATGAACATTTCAAAAACCTTGTTATTCCGTTTTCAAGATTAACTATGCAATGAATTTGAAGAGCTGTATTGAAACTCCTGTTTATCATAGCCCAAGCTTTTCTGGGATTCTCCCCTGTTATAGCTCCCCATTTCATTTCATCTTTCACAGATGCCAGAAGTGTCTCTATCCCAAAGGCATTTTGTCAAGGCTTCGCATCTTGCACTTAAGACATTTCACAAGAATACAAATTCAACGGGAAAACCAACATGAATATTAGATAAGAGGAGAATGCTGATTAGTTGGCAAATTGACTAATTGGTAGAGGTCTGTCATGGAGAATGCATTGATTGATCATAATTAACAGATAACAGTTATTCTACATTTAAATTTTAAAGCAGGCAGGTTGACTAATTTGTCTGACCACTACCCTGAATTATACAATAGCATCGTGTGCATAACAACGTCCCATAAATACCAATGAGGTGTATTTTTGCCAATGTTTTTGAACTAATGTCTGTCTGACTCCTATTTTACTGTTGAAACAGGTGTAGTGCTCACACACAGGATTATCCAGCAAGTGTTGTCCAACTGCACTTAATGTTGAACAATGTGTACTGAGTTTTGCAAGCACAGGCTAGTTGGAGATGGGCAGTACTTTGTTTGTTGTAAGTAGCCAAAGCTATATGTTATTTAATGTGATCTGTAAGTCATATGTCCCAAAGGCTGACATGTGTAGTATCATACCAGCATTGAAATTCATATACCATATCAATAGAGGCACTATCCTCTGAAATAGATATAAAGCTCCAATAGTCTATTCAAATGAACATAAGAACTTAAGAACTAGGAGCAGAAGCAGGCACACAGCCTTTTGAGCCTACTCCATTATTTGATGATATGATCATGGTCGATCTCATCTCGACCTCAACTTGACTTTCCTGCCCATTCTCCATAAGCCTTCAACCCATCACTGATTAAAAATCTGTCTATCTTTTCCTTAAACCTACTCAGTGTCCCAGCCTCCACCACACTCTTGGGGAGTGAATTCCAAAGATTCGTTACCCATTGAGAGAAGTAATTTCTCCTCATTTGTTTTAAATCTGCTACCCCTTGTCATAAAACTATGACCTCCTATACTAGATTGCCCTAGAGGAAGCATCCTTTCTGCACCTACTTTGTCAATCCCCTTTAGAGTCTTATATTCCTCAATTTGATCACCTTCCATTTTTTTAAACTCCAGAGAGTATAGGTTCTAAACTGTTCAATCTCCCATTATGAGGCAAACCCCTTATCTTTGGAATCAATCCAGTGAACCTCCTATGAACTACTGCAGTGTACATTAGTGGACATTAAAGATTCATTATGAAAAAAGGCAGCAAGTTCTAATGATATCTCAGGCCAATGTGTAATACCACTCAATAAGCATAGACAAAAATGCAATATTTTGTATAGTATTTGAGGGACATTGATGTGCACAAGATGATTTCCTACAGAACAACCAGAAGTGCATCATATGTGATGACACTTCATGAAAAATCTAATAAAGTTTTATGTGTATTCATCTCCTTTCATACTTTCTCAGTGAATGTCTAAAATGTACAGCTTTCCATTCAGAGCCTAACATTAAAAGGGAATAAAAATTCTTATCGATATTACAAGAACATTGTTGGTTGAAGGGTCCAGTTATCACTACACACATATTGCAGTGTCTGAGCCAGATGGCGAAAATATCAGACTTTGAACAGCCATGTGGGAAGCCATGTATTGATAGCACAAAAATAGGATCAGTTTCAAAGGATTAGCGTACATTATTTCAGATCCTTTTTTCCCCCACAACAATCTGTCAAGTGTACACAGAACCATGGATTTCAAATATTTTATCTTGAAAACTAGACAAAGGAGTAGGCTTCAAGCTTTACATAGGTCAATGACCTTCCAGAGCTTTTTCTTCTGTTTTTAGATTCCTAATACGTATTTCCTGGCCAAGTGTGAGAGTGGGAGGCAGTGTGCTGCCAGGTCTCTCAATGCTGCTGTGTATAGAAGCACTGGAAATTACTCAGGAGTTATCTATGTTGACTCTCTTTCCGTTTGAGGAAGTACCTTGCCCCCACCATACAGCATCTCCTTCGCCTATAATGCTTGATGCCATGAACTTGTTGGATTCAGGACTCAAAAGGATTCAATGTGCAGGCGCTCCTTCAAAAGGACAACGGTTGCTTGCACATTGGACTGTATGTGTGACATTAAAGAAAATCAAAGAAGAATAGCTTCATTCAGATGAAATTAATTCAGGAAAAAAATATTGTTTATAATTCCTGTGTTGTAAGGAGTTAGAGAGACATACAGCACGGATACAGACCCTTCAGTCCAATCAGTCCACACCGAACATAATCCCAAACTTTCTTGTTGAAATGGAGTGTGAATAATAACACCATACCTATGTACCACACCTTCTCAACTTACATGTATACAGCCATACACAGACAGCTGTTGTTTGAGGAGAGAATTGACCGCCACCAATTTCTCAAGGGCACCTATGGATGGGGAATAAATACTGGTCTTGCTAGTGATAACCATGAATGAAGAGCAAGTATTTTTAAAAGTTACTGCACTCTATTTCACTCATGCACAGAGCAGGAACAGAAAGTCACAGACTTTTCTGGTACTGAGTTTGTACTACTCACTTATCTGCTGAAAGTTCTCTTCATTCCACGTAAAGCCACGTAGATAAGCAAACCTGAAATGGCAGCTATGCCCAGACACCAATCTTCAAACAGTCAAGAGCCTAGGTGCTGAAGTAACTTATGCTCACTCTACTTGAAGGGGAGTAATGATATTCAAAGATGTTGCCAATTTCAACCATATATTACAACATAGATACACCAACAGGGGCTAGGCAAATTTCATGTGCTCAAAACCTAAAGAAACTACATCTGAATTTGGGGAAAAGGAGTTGCTAATCTTTTCAAAGAAACCAAGATCTATATTATTTCTTCAAGGAAACCACTATATACATATATATGATCTCAAGTTGAACAGAAGCTTTGCTTTTTACCTTTCAGAAAGTTGACGGATCTGTGGAATACCCATATACTTATGAAAATGTTCCAAAACATTCACCACTCCTTGCATGAGGTTAGCCACTTCTCCATATTGTCTCCGACGAGTCATAGCCCTACAGAGATAAAATATGCTTTCAAAGCCACCAATTCTATGTTCACTTTTATTCCCAAATTATGAATACCATAATTGTGATTAAATTGTTGATCCAAACATTTGTAACAACCTGAGAATAGTGTTAGTAATTAAGATTTCACAATATTGCAATGCACTCAAGCATCACAATTCACACACTGGGATTTTACTTGATCTGTTGTAAAAGCACTGTAATCCTGACAATAAACGAATTTTCCTAGATGCTCATTAAATTGTTAATTTTAAAACAAGCTTTTAGATTTTTGCTCACCAAAGATATTAAGGGATATGAAGGTGGTTTACAAATTAGTTAGGACATCGCTGAATAACAGAATGGATTAGAGAGTTTAAATTGCCTATTGCTGTTCCTATACTCCCAACAAAATGTTTTCCTTGAGCAAATCATGTTACATTTATGAAAGAATCAAGACTAATAATAGGTTTGTACGTCAGTTATTTCAATAGTGTGACATCAATAGTGACTCAGTTGCTAGCACACAGCACTGAATCACAAGATTCTGGATCAAGCCTACCTAGGACTGGAGCACAAAGATCAAGGTTGACACTCCAGTGCAGTGCTGAGGTAATATCATGCTGTTAGGATGAGAACTAACAATTTCTCTAGTCATGCTTTTTAAAAGTTGATCATGGACAATTTAGTTTCAAGCACTACATTATTAGCAGATAAGAACTTTGACGGATACAGTTCCAAGTTGCAGCATAATTTAAACAACTGAGGCCCCCTTGAAAAGTGCTTTCTGCAAAACATGATGGTTCATGAAATTTTAAGTAACCAACCACATTCTCTGTTAACAGTGCTCAGAATTAACAGAAGGGGACAACAAAGGATTCTGGGTAGAATGTATCATAAGGTACACATATATGTGGAGATACTAGTTCTTAGCCGTATGTTTTCATTCTTGTATTGTAGATGAGGACTGCAAAATGCAACGGAATCATAACTTAGCAGGAGTCATCTTTAAGAAAAGGGAAGAGAGTGTGACGATGCTATAGCTTTAAAAGGTATATTTTGTCCAGGATTTTTTTTTCAAAGAGAGATTTTAAAGCAGATTGCAGAACTGGCTAGTGAAGGCCCATAAAGTAAACAACTTGGGAAGCCTTGGATTTTTTTTTTTTAAAAAAAAGAAGTTGGAACAATAGAAGCAGCCTAGCAGGGTGTGGCCAGCTCTCACAGACCAAGATTTCTAGTTTTTAGATTTTTAGCCTTGAGATTCAGCAGGAGCTGCTGTTGGAATCTCACAGGGTTGGAAGCTGCAGGAGATGTCTCCAGGCTGCTACTCCGAGTTTTGACTTGACAGATTTTTTTTTCCCTCTCTCTCTGATGCTAGATTGCACACGAGACAATCTGGTTCTGACTTAGCCTTTTTGCCAAGGGGGTGTAAAATTATGGGATGTTACTACTTTGGAACAATTAATTAGTAATAGTTACTGTCTCTATTATTCTGTTAAGTTTGCCAATAGAGTTAAGTTATTCTAAATTCTTGTCTTTTGTTGTATTTTGACTGTAGTGTTTGAATAAATTGTGTTTTACTTAATGCCAATTAGTTTGGCCACACAAATCGCATCTTGAACACAGCAATTTACATTTGCCTTTAAAATAAGAAAAAGTTAGGGTCTAGGTTACCTTCTTAAAATATTTTGAGGGTGCTTTATCTGATCCGTAACAGGGGGCAGAAATTGTATTCTAATTGATTATGATATATTCTGGAAAAATTAAATTATTCAATATACGCATTTCATAGAGTCATAGCACGGAAACAGACCCTTCTGTCCAACTAGTCCAACTTAGTAAAAGACTCACACAACTTCCTCACAAAGGGATGGCTTCACATTCTGTAGTATTGCTTACTGACACAAAACAGAATCTAGTTTCCATTAATTTCAGTTTTCTCTCTCTTAAATTGGTTTACGACCACTGTTAGTTATTTGACCTGGTAACATTTTACATCTCCCCCCAAGCTGACATCCAGAATAATCGGCCCCTTTTCAGAATGGATCATTCCTTCTATACCTGCTGACATGGCAGCACCATTAAAGTACCTCAGTACCCCAACTCACAACACAATTCTGCTTCTGATAATTACTTACTCCAATGAGTCAACGCCGCCTGCAAGCATATGCAGGTGATTGAGTGTAGTGATGGAAGTGGTAAGGTGGCGTTTTGCATGATCAAGTTGTTTAATATCCCGTGTGATTTCCTTAACCTAAAGAACAGAGTTTATAAACATAATTTCCTGTTAAACTGTATTTTCTATAAATATACCATATCTTTGAAGCCTATATGGGCTGAATTAGATTAAGGCTGGGCAGCGTTAGCAATTATAATCAAAATTCTTAACACTACGAAATTCAAGACAAAAATACAAATACACAATTAATAATGGAGCATTCATTTACATGTTTAAAGTAAGCTGTATCAAATCTCCTTTTGAAAATGTTTTGGATCCATCGTAAGTGTTTCTGAAAGCTATAAACATTCTTTATGTCAAGGCTCAGCTTCTTCAATACTCTACTCACAGGCCTTCTGAATTCCTCGGTTTAATAAATCTAAGATATCTAAAACCCTTCTGCCCAAAGCCTGTGCTACTTTTCACTTATCCATCAACTCTATTCATGCTGACCTGTGCTGGCTTCAATTATACTGTGGCTCAGTGGTTAGCAGTGCTGCCTCACAGCACCAGGGACCCAGGTTTGATTGCATCTTCGGGTGACTGTCTGTGTGGAAGTTGCATATTCTCACTGTGTCTGTGTGGGTTTCCTCTGGGTGCTTGGTTTCCTCCCACAGTCCAAACATGTGCAGGTTGGGTGGATTGACCATGGGAAATGCAGGGTTACAGGGATAGGATGGGATGCTCTTCAGAGTGTCGGTGCAGACTTGATGGGCTGAATGGCCAGCTTCCACACTGTAGGGATTCTGTGATCTCCTACTTTTGGCTCTACCACCTCCACCCCTTATCTTGTGATCCTGTGACTTTAGCCTGCTGTACATTCCCCTTTTGTGGCATTCCTCGCATTTTGTCACCTTGATCCTATCTTCTGGAACTTCCTTCCCAAGCCTTGTGATTTCTCTCCTACCTTTTACAAAAATCTTCCTCAAACCCGTTTTTCTGATCACCATCTCAAAAATACATCATCGCCTTCCTTTTGAATGCCCTTTTTCTTAAAATAGGTTTGTCACATTCAACACTAATAGAGCATTTCATTCTAAAACATCAAAACAATCGCTTCAGCACTGGACTTACCATCTGCTCCGATTTCTCTGCTTTGTCCTTAATATCTTTTATCTTGGCAAAAAGCTGCTGAATGGCTTTTTGTGCTTCTTCCAAAGCCTGCACAAGGATAATAGTAAAGGTTTAGGATAGAGGTATTGAACAAAAAAAGGGTTCAGTCAATTCAGGAGTGGGCATTAGTTAAAAGAGTCAGTGGCATTCCCTCCAACTCTGCTTCTGCAATCGCTAAGCTGGTAAAGACGGTTTGTTCAGCAAAATCAAAATAATAGAAAATAGCAAAAGATCTAAATATTTAAGACGTTGAGGCGGTGTCGAGAAATGACTGGTGCTTTCATTCCAAGTTCAAGACAAATTGATTTAAGTTCCCTTTTTCAAAATGATTAGGTCCAAACAGTTGTCCCTGGTAACTTATCCGCATTTTCTTTTGGCTAAGAACTCGTATCGCTGCACACTTGTGTACCTATAATACATTCTAACCAGAATCCTTTGTTGTCCTCTTCTGTTAATTCTGAGCACTATTACTAGGGAATGTGGTTTGTTATTTCTTAAAATTTCATGAACCATCATGCTTTGCAGAAAGCACTTTTCAGGAGGGGGCCCTCAATCTTTTACATTATGTTGCAACTTAAACTGAATCTATCGAACGGTTATCTGCTAACGGTGCAGTGCTTGAAACTAAACTATCCATGATCAACTTTTTAAAAGGCTTGACTAGAAAAGGGAGAGAGAAAGAATGACAATGACATACAGATAACATCAGAGACTCGGGCTTACAGTCATTCAAGTGTCTATGAGATGATGCAAAAAAACTTACTCAAAATTGAAAGGCAGCATAATGTTCAAGAATAGTACAATACAAGTGTTTTTTTGAATGACAAAAACTGTGCTCCAGAAATTCTCAAAAACAGAACAGATTTTTCTTATCCTGTACAAAACTAATCTGGGAAACATAATGGTGTTTTTAAACACAAAAAGTACTTGTTGGAATTGTGCTTCAGAATAGAGTATTGGTGCAGTTATTGAAATTAAGCTTCTAATACTGGCAAAATTCCTTGCTAGAAAAATAATACTTCAATGAAACTAAATTAGATGTACAAGTTGATCGAAAAACAACTAATTCTCTCTCAGAAAAGGCTATGGTGCCATAATATCTCCAGTGGCAGATATAGATGTTCAACCTTTCAAAGCTCCAGCAGTGTCAATGAAATTGGGGAGGGGGGAGCAATTATTTATGTATTTTTTTAAAAAAACTATTTTCAGGCAGCTTAATCTAGAAACAGCAGCAAAAGAGGTGAAAAGATAAGAAGTGGAAACATGCAATCTCAAGCCAATCACAATAGACACATGCCAAGCAAAGTAAAGCAATGCCTTGCGAGAGAAAAAAATATAAAAGAAGTGTACACGTAGGGAGGACTTCAACTTCAGCAGCTCTAACATTGGTATTTCCATAGGGAAGAGGTTTTGAGAAATTCAGTCTGCATGACTACCACACAGAGGGACAATGTTCTCTCACACCCAAGCTACTGGTAGTGGAGAAATCTCATGTGATAATCCACATCCTACTACCCAAAACACAGCCTATCAGAACATTAAGACATGATATTTATCTTGTTCAATTCTGTTTGGTCAGCATCCAGTGAATGGAAGCACAGATGTTATGATAATTGAAATGACTCATGTGCACACCAGACCCTACAAGACTGGGTTGACAAATTTTACACCCAAATCCTACATCTCTGATAAGATCTCCAACAACACGGTCCAAGTGGAGTTTGAGAGGTCATCTTGGACAGCAGATCCCCTCTAACTTGGGCAGATACTCAACGCAACCCTAATAAATGTGCACGTACATAATTGTATATTTATGGGCGTCTGAAAAACACTGAAATTAAATGTTTCTGTCAAGTTTGTGATACATTAGTACATGAAAAGCAATTTCAAAAATGTAGCTTTGGTAATGAAATTCAGCACCCAAAAGGTTAAAGTAATCCCCTGAATTTCCAATATCCTCTTTACTAGGCCAAAATTGAATTTTAAAAATCCCTTGGCTTCGTTTCAAATTTCTGTTATTAATTAGATATAATAATTTTTATTTGATGTCATTTACATTTGGCTGCAGCGGTCTAAATTACTGACAGTCCAGCTTCCGATATCGTCTGAATCTACAAAGATTCAATGAACAAAGTAATTTCTAAAATAACTGAAACTGAAAGGGTGATCGGTGAAAAACGGATGCTGTTCTTTTCCAGTCTAAACAAGGTCAACCACTACTTCAGAATTCAGACTTCCACTGGTTTCTCAGTTTGGAAATAAAAATGTCTTCCTTTTTCTGTTACTCATTCATGTAACCCAATCCCAAATGAATCAGAAATACATTACAAAGCTACTCTTTACTGCAAAGACACAAAACCCATCCAGTGTGAGGGTGTTTTTAAACCTCTTAAAAAAAAATCAACCTAATCCTCCTACAAAAGCACACAAACTTTTTATGAGAGGATCGAATTATTATATCTTTGAGTATTTTTAAAGGCATAACCTTATATTCCAATGCTTTTTGCGACTGAGTGGACCTGCCCATGGAAACATCTTGACAAAATTAACTCCTTTCCTAAGAAACAGAAAGTCAATTATTATAAGATCTCAACTATACCCAAAGTGCACACTTTGAACAGTGACCAGGAATGTCAGCAGCTAAGGCCAGCTGGCTATGGAATTCAGCATATTCACAACACCTCAAACCAGATGGCTGTCACTCAAACAAGTGGGGCTGTTATGTCTTGAATGCTAAATCATTACAATATTAGACATGTACTATTTACTGAAGGATTCTAAAGAAAATGGAAGCTTTAGACCTGAATCCATTTTACAAAACTTTGACACAAGATGAGGCCAACTCTGGTATGAAACCAAATGTAAGCCATGTCTTGGTCAGTTGATGCTGATTACATTTAAAACAGTCATCCAAGTCTGAAAGTCGATCATCACCACAGCCAATGTCCATAACTTCTGCATCACTGGACATTTGCGGTGGAGGCGGTGACGCTTGGAGTAAGACGTGGGGGACATGGCTGATTCCCCACATTCAGTGGCTCTTTGGGCATAGATGGCATACTTCCAAACATTTCTATTTTTCCAAACTTATTAATTCTAAGCTATAAAGAGTCCTAAACAATGGACATAAAGATGATTGAGTGTAAAATAAATCCCTATACAGTCTCATCTGCTACTTTGGACGATAATATTTGAAAAGAATATGCATGATCCCAAATGTTTCAAAAAAAATCTTCAAAATGTACACTTCTAACAAAGCAGCTCAAAAAGAATAAATGTACTTATTAACTATCAGGAGGAGCATGCTGAACTCTTGCCCTTTTGAATTCCAGCCACATTAAAGAAATGACATGAATTGCACTGTCACATAATAATAAGGATAAAAGTAATTAAATGTATGCGTTACTTAGATTTTACAGATTAACCCATCAGGCTGCATAGAATGTACAGGGTGAAACCATAAATAAATGTCATAGGCTATTTGGCCCAACTAGTCAACTTCATCAACACTGGATATTCTTCCTGAAGTCTTCCGAAGGCTGCATACTACTTCACTCAAAAAGGACATTCATTATTCAAAGCAGCAGTAAGATCTGCTAGGTGTGGCCAGGGTCACATGGGATGCTCAAGCAAACAATTTAGGTTCTAGTGTGCCAAGTTATAAGAGGTTTTCAAACTAAGCAATGGACAATAGAATGTTTTGTAAGTCCACGCTGATGGTATGTCAGAATGCCTGACACTTCTATCACATGGCTGCAGTGACAAAAGCTAAGCATCTTTTGGAATTAGTCCCAAATTAGTCACAAATTGTATTTGATAATTACATCAATCTGTTTTTCTATCAAGTTCCAGTCAGATTCCGCACTCTGGTTGGTTCAAACTGTGGGATTTCACAGTCTTCAAAGAAAGCAAGTTAGATCAGGTAACTTCTGTACATTAAGAATGTGGTCTTTACATATAGTTTGCGAGTCGGTGCTAAAGAATTCCCTAGTTTCGCTATGTGACCAACCAACATAGCATTACTACTATATAAACATGCATTCTGTTAATGCTACCTTTCTTCTGTTCTCTTTCTGTTCAAAAAAGTTAATTAGAAACTAAAGCATCAATCAGATGTGGAGTTATTCTAAATCTGTCTTAAGAGAATAAAGTGAAGTCATGGGATAAAACCAAATTAAAGAAAGTTCGTTGTTCGCTCCTTGGTCATGTGCCAAACTTCCCAATACAGCTAGGTCAGTGAAAACACAGAAGTATCAACTACGAGAATAGCCTGAATCACCAAAACCAAAACTACTGAGAGCAAACAGAAGCACTGCAAAAACATAGATTACTTCAGAAACCATCAGAATAGACAACCACTGTCCAATGATACAGGGAATAGCCCACATGGGAATACCAAATCTCGCAAACAGCACAAGGCGACCATTTCAGAATATCTCCAGTCTTCCTTCCATAGCACTGCGTTCAGGGAATCAAATCAAGCATAATCTTCAGGCTCAGGAGGATTAGAGGTTAGGGGTTGATTAGATAAGGACACATGGACAGAATGCAGTCCACATTTCAAAATTAACCATTACATCCTTATATGTATATAATAACTTCAATCTAATGTAATTCTTCATTAAATAGCAATAGTTACAGCAATTTATAAAGTGGCAGAGTTGGTTTGAATGTAGAGGCTACTCTGTAGTACAAACTTGAGGAGCTAGGAATTGTTAAGGTCAATCACAACCACTTTACCAGGTTTGGAGCCGAGGATGGGAAGAGGGCAGAATTCCAGCAGAACATGTTTACATAGGCAGTTTTATTAAAAAGGTGTGCAAAGGAATTATAATGGGAGGAGTTAACACAAAAATATGACAAACGCGTCAAGGGGAAATAAAGGTTATTGACAGAAAGTAGATGCAGATGTAAGAAATGTAATATATTATAAATAGATGGATGCAACTTTCAACCATGAGTCTCTAATTCCCCCTACAACCATTTCCAGTTCATATTTGGACCACCATCATAGGGTAACCTTGGTTGAAATCCAAAAAACAATGCAA